AGTAAGATATAACAGTTAGAATTGGAGTAAAATGGCAGTATACAGCAGATGCACGTGGTACATGTCTTCATCGATCAACTGAAATAGAGAATACGGATATTAGCTTAACAGGCTTATTTAGAAAGACTATTGTCTACTTTGAACTTACTGTGTGAGAAAGTTATACTGGAACCACGAATAATGTGGGAATCTAGTCTCCCAGGGCGTAAGAAGCAGTTAAACTGGAAGAGAGTTGTCCAAAAATAATTCGAATATGAAGGTGAAAATTTGCAGGTACTCTTCATTGTGAGGGTGAACATGTTAGGTACCAGTTGACATCATACCGTAAAAAACACAAATTTGCGAGTGGTGAAATATAATCTATAAAAAAGTGAGCTTAATAACAGTTAATTACCTTTTAACTCCCTGATCATGACCATTCGGCTTTCTTTTATGGCCAAAACAGCAAACATACATTAGACACTGGTAGCGGATTTCCGGCTTTTCAATGTTAAGCTTGCTTTAACGCACTAAGTAATGAGTACAACCCCTCTATTACTGCTATATGGCATATTTTTCATAACAAACCCTCTGCAATAGATTGGTAGCATCTGTGACTTTGTCTATGGTTGTCGGAAGTCTGGGTCCTTTCGAAAACAATACTGATATCCCCTAATGCTGGGCACTCTGTATTAGTTTGACTCGTTGGTGGGATAGTGTTGTCCATAATATTGAGGAAAATTAAAGACCGGGGATTGTTTCCTTTCATTTTGCCGATAACATCGTAAAGGACAGTTAGGAACGAACATGCGAACAGTTAGAGTCACAGGCGGCAGCAACAGTTATTTTAGCTAAATAAAAACGAACGTCGGCTTCGGATATCTAGAAAACAAGGTAAAACATAACCGATTGTCGTTTAAAAACGTAAGGTCTTATGTTAGTACTAGCCTGCTTAGCTGAATAAATACAGTGACTTCATTAGCAGCAGGTAAAACCCAGAAAACAAAGCAAAATCGGGAAAAAAAACTTGCTCCAACGTTCAGAGTATCACACTAACTTCTGGATTTTAGCACACTGAAACATCAAATTCTGTAGCTACACAAAAGAAATAGCGGAAAAATCACAGAACGAAGAAAGCCGGCCGACATTTTATAACACTAGACTAGCCAGATTGCCCGAAGAAATACATTGACTTGAGAAGAAGCAGCAAAAACCCAGAAAACATCGCTGATTCGAAATAAACTTCACACCAACATATAGAACATTACACTAACTGCGGCATTTTAGCACACTGAAACATTAAATTACATAGCTACACGAAATAAATAGCTGAAAAAAAGCACAGAACGAAGATAGCCGACGGCCATTGCTTAAAAAGATGGCGGATGTAATAATTCCCGTCTCATCCTGATTGGTTGCTAAGCTGAAGGGCACATTTACGAAATTGAGTTGCGTTTAATTGCAGCCGTTAATTCCACGTAGTCAAATAGTTGTCACCAATTGTCTGTTTTAAGTAATGAGGAGAGTTGACAAACAAACGAACCAAATATTCATTTAACACGTCTAAAATGTTTCAAATATTTAAGTTTCGTCATCACGTCATAAAATTTACCAATTGGAAAAATCTTCAGAGATTGTATAGACCGGCCATTAGCAGTAATTAGGTAGGAAGTATAACTCCGCCTGTAGCTCTTATAGGGTTACTGCCGGTCCCAAGCCCGGGTAAAGGAGGAGGGTTGGACATGGGGTTAGCGTCCCCATCCCGTAGAAAACTAACTCGCTAAAAAGACGCTTACCAGAAAAAATAACCCAAACCATTTTTACTCTGCCATGGGAGTTAGAAGGTCTTCATTTAGAAGAATTATGACGCTTCATGGTGAAAGCCGAGTTCCTTCGGAAGCCATGAGGCCGATGCCCCTTCCAACAACCAGAGCAAAAATTTTTATAGGTACATGGAACGTTCGAACAATGTGGGAAACCGGGAAGACCAGTCAAATATCAATGGAAACGAGGAGATACAACTTAGCAGTACTGGGAATCAGCGAAACACACTGTACCCAAGCTGGACAGAAAAGGCTAGCTACGTGAGAGATGCTGCTATACTCCGGTCACGAAGAGGACAATGCTCCACACACTCAGGGAGTCGCTCTTATGCTGTCCAAAGTAGCACGAAATGCACTTGTAGGATGGGAATCTCACAGATCCAGAATCATCAAAGCATCATTCAAAACAAAGAAGGAGGGGATCTTAATGAATATTATCCAATGTTATGCACCCACCAATGATAGCAACGACGACATTAAAGATCAATTCTACGAGCGGCTGCAGTCAGTGATAGAGAAATGCCAAGAAAGGACCTCACCATTCTAATGGGAGATCTAAATGCCAAAGTCGGAATAGACAACACTGGATATGAAGATATTATGGGACGACATGGACTGGGAGAAAGAAACGAAAATGGAGAAAGATTTGCAAATCTATGTGCATTCAACAAATTGGTCATAGGAGGCACAATATTTCCACACAAGCGTATACACAAGGCTACATGGATCTCACCGGACCACACTACAGAGAACCAGATAGATCATATTTGCATCAACAAAAAATTCCGAAGGACAATGGAAGATGTGAGAACCAGGAGAGCTGCTGACGTAGCTTCAGATCACCACCTAGTTGTAGCCAATTTAAAACTGAAGCTGAAAAAGAACTGGACAAGTGGACAAACAGCAATACAAAGGTTCAATACAGCCTTCCTTCGAGATACTGACAAACTCAATGAATTCAAGATAGCTCTCAACAACAGGTTCCAAGCCTTACAAGATCTACTGAAGAAGAAGAAACTACTATGGAGGACAACTGGAAAGGCATCAAGGAAGCATTAACTTCAACGTGTCAAGAGGTTCTGGGCCTAAAGAAACACCATCATAAGGAATGGATCTCTATAGAAACACTGGATAAGATCAAAGAAAGGAAGAACAAGAAGGCAGCAATTAACAACAGCCGAACACGAGCAGAGAAAGTCCAAGCACAAGCTGAATACATAGAAGCAAACAAACAAGTGAAGAGGAGCATTAGAGCCGACAAGAAGAAATACGTGGAAGAACTAGCAACGACGGCAGAAAAAGCTGCTAGAGAAGGAAATATGAAACAGCTTCACGATACAACGAAGAAACTAGCAGGGAAATACAGTAAACCAGAGAGGCCGGTCAAAGACAAAGAAGGCAAGCCAATCACCGAAATTCAACAACAGCGTAACAGATGGGTGGAATACTTCGAGGAACTCCTGAATAGGCCGGCTCCAATGAATCCACCGGACATCGAAGCAGCACACATAGATCTTCCTATAGATGTCAACCCACCAACGACGGAAGAAATTAGAATGGCCGTCAGACAAATCAAGAACGGGAAAGCAGCAGGACCCGACAACATACCAGCTGAAGCACTGAAATCAGACATCGAAGCAACCACAAGCATGCTTTATCTTCTATTCAAAAAGATTTGGGAGGAGGAACAAGTGCCGATGGACTGGAAAGAAGGACACCTCGTCAAGATTCCAAAGAAAGGAGATCTGAGCAAATGTGAAAACTACAGAGGCATTACACTACTGTCAATACCAGGGAAAGTCTTCAACAGAGTGTTGCTGAACCGGATGAAGGATGCAGTAGACGCCCAACTTCGAGATCAACAAGCTGGATTCCGTAAGGATCGGTCGTGCACAGACCAAATTGCAACACTACGGATCATCGTCGAACAATCAGTTGAGTGGAACTCATCACTATACATCAACTTCATTGATTATGAAAAGGCATTCGACAGTGTAGATAGGAGGACATTATGGAAACTTCTTCGACACTACGGAGTTCCTGAGAAGATTGTCAATATTATCCGGAACTCATACGACGGACTACAGTGCAAAGTAGTGCATGGAGGACAGCTGACAGATGCATTCCAAGTAAGGACCGGAGTCAGACAAGGCTGTTTACTCTCTCCCTTCCTCTTTCTTCTGGTGGTCGACTGGATTATGAAGACCTCAACATCTGAAGGAAAACACGGAATACAATGGAAAGCTCAGAATCAATTAGACGATTTGGACTTCGCAGATGACCTAGCCCTCCTATCACGTACACACGAACAGATGCAGATGAAGACAGCCAGTGTAGCAGCAGTCTCTGCATCAGTAGGCCTCAGCATACACAAAGGGAAAACTAAGGTCCTCAAATTCAAAGCGGAGAACAGCAATCCAATCACTCTTGATGGCGAAACTCTGGAAGATGTAGAGTCCTTCACATACCTGGGAAGCATCATCGATGAACAAGGAGGTTCAGATGCAGACGTAAAGGCGAGGATCGGCAAAGCAAGGGTCGCATTCCTACAATTGAAGAACATATGGAACTCAAAACAACTTTCAACCAATATCAAAGTGAGAATCTTCAATACGAACGTCAAGGCAGTTCCACTGTACGGAGCTAAAAGTTGGAGAACTGCTGCAACCATCATCAAGAATTTACAGGTATTTATAAATAGCTGTCTACGCAAGATACTCAACATACATTGGCCGGATGCCATCAGCAATAGCCTTCTGTGGAAGAGAACAAACCAACTTCCAGCTGAAGAAGAAATTAGGAAAAGACGATGGAAATGGATAGGACATACATTACGCAAATCGTCGAACTGCATCACGAGGCAAGCCCTAACTTGGAATCCTGAAGGGAAGCGAAAAAGAGGAAGGCCAAAGAACACATTGCGTCGGATAATAGAAGCAGATATGAAAAGGATGAATTACAACTAGACGGAGCTAGAAAGGATTGCCCAGGACAGGGTTGAATGGAGAATGCTGGTGAGCGGCCTATGCTCCTTCACGAGGAGTAACAGGCGTAAGTAAGTAAGTAAGGTAGGAAGTATAGCGGGGTATTGTTATCACTACATTTGGGTTCGTTATTTTGGTGTATAGCTGGAGAATGCTTGCAAATGCAACGTCAGAAAATTTTGTTTAATGAATGTTATATACTTCTCATTGCACAATGGCACGATGGACTTTGAAAACCGCCCCCAAGTTCACTGCATTTAATCAGAGGTAGTTTTTTCAACGTTTGATTTTCAGTCAACCGACTTAATAGGAGTTAATGTCACGTTTAACCTATTAGCCAGCGATATATATATCCTTAGTTTGTAAACGGCTACGAATGCTAACCGGAGCCATGTACAAGTAAAATCTATGTGGACCTAATTCTTTGTTTACGGTATTAAATCTGCTCTAGTTAATACTGAATAACTAAAGTCACGCTGAACTAATTATACTTATGCCTGCATGTCTTATCAAGCCCGCTTTTCTCAGCAATTTTGACCAGCACTACTGCGTTGAGTCTAAAATTTCCCACGATGCTTCGAGTGTTGTTGCTCATAAATAGAGTACATTTATTTCCTCTTGTCTCTGACTTCAAACTTTGTCAAATATGAGTTGAACTATTCCCGAAAATCTACTCATATTCTGTTTGACACTCTTCAAAATGTTGTGGATCTATTACTTGATACCTTTATTCTCTATCACGGTACTTGTTTGGATTCGTTCCATTCGTAAAAAGTGATGAGTCACCTTGCCTCCATAACCGGTAGAGTTCAGTTTTTAGCCCAAATTTAAAGGCACAGATGTGTTTCCGAAAGCATAAATAACCCATAAAGCTGTCAAAGTCGTTCAAAACCACATCAAAAATGACCATTGCTGCAGTTTAGCAACAAACACTGACAGCGCATTTATAGAGTAGTTAGATAAATACAATAGCAATCGAGCTGAATTGTTGTAAAAGTGGTTTTCCCTCTTAAAATTTGTTTTTTCCTCTAAGAATACCTGTTTATTGCTGTAGCAATGATACAAGATTTACTGTGAAACGGTTCATTTCATAGTGGTATTGAGCGTCGTACATTACGTTACCAATTGATTGAATTGTGGCGTTGCAGTTAGTGTTTTTGTCTTACCATGTAGATTTTTGTGGATACTAAGTATTTATATCATAAACGTGAGCTAAGATTTCACTGTGAAAATGTTTCAATAATCTTTGCTTGTGAATGTTCACAAGTGGTGTCAGTCTAATATATGCAAAACTAGCTCTCTAAACAAATGTTTTGTTACTGACTTTTGAAATTTCTTTTCCTATAATTAGTCCTAGGTTAGAGACATATGTACGGTATATTAACACAAAATTCGTATTTTTTTACTTGGAAATCCGAGTTGAAAAAGCATAAACTGGAGGTGCTTAGAACATCCTCAAGCTCCCAAATTGAGCACAAAGTTATTTGATTATACATGAGTCATGGGACAGTTCCATTGAAAATTTTGAGAAAAAACAAGAAGATTCAAAGTTTCTCATAGTGGGGATTGTTTACAAAATATTCCTTAAACTCATCTAAGATTTTCATGCACTTTGAGAGAATGCTGAGTCGCTAATTGAAAATCCAAAAGATTTTACTGGTTTTGTCCCCAGAATGTACCCCACATTTTCTCAGGTTCAATAATTTCGAGGACCACTCTCTGACTTCAAAAACGATACAATTTTCCTGTATGAGATCGAAATATGTACACGAATTCAAGGATCTGTGCTTTTAATAGTTTATTTATTTGTTTGATACCGTATACATATGGGCCACACAAATCAGTTGTTTCGTGTGAGTCTGGAATACTACCCGGTCTCCTAGACTGAAGCGGGCGTTTTCCTTACAGTGCTACACCCTGAGCCTTCGACCTAATATTCTAATCCACAAGACAGTGAAGCAACATAAGGTGCAGTCCCATGGTAGCCGGTGACCAACAATAGGTTCATACGCCATTTGTTCCCTCAGGATCCTGGAGCCCATGTGCACGACTGGTTTGAAATAAGGATTTTCCAACTCCCCTAGGTCGATCCTCCGTGTCCACTAACCCGTATAAAGCGACGGACATTCGCTTTTCATCCTCTAAATTCCGTAAACCACACTCCTGCTACAAAAGTGCAGTGAGTATGACTTCCGTGAAAGTGGTTGTATATACGCGGTCATGTGAAGGTATTTCTCGAGGATGAGCTGACTCTCCCCACTCTCAGCTGTACCAGGGCACTTGGGGGCTAGGTCATGATCGACACTGATAATCTGGACAGAAACCACGTTTTCTATTAACTTCAGTTTGTGTAGAAGCTTGACTATTTACTGTGGTTGCTGCAGCGGAAAGCTTTTGCGTACAACGTATTTATCGTTTAATACTACTCCCAAAACTGTCTATCGCACGATCTTACACCGCCAAGTTATCAAACGTACTACAAGTAGTCTTTCTCAAAAACACTTCCCATACTTTACACCGTGATTGTCATTTTTGGTCTAAATGAGATTTCCATATCATCAATGAGGATGTTTATTAAAATAAATGAGTGATTTGGGAGGCTGAACTTTCGTTAATCCTGTTCGGTTGCATCAGTTATATTGCAAATTAGAAATCCAAAGTGAGAACGTAATCATTTTTATCAAACGCTATGTATACATACAGATATATTCACTAGATAAGATTAGAATATAACAATGCTCACAAATGTTGTATGCAGTTAACTGAAAATGAAATATAGTAAAATTTGTATACTCTTTGGAAGTGAGTAACCTACTGTAATGCCACCGTGTTTTTGGGGCAAGCTGAGAAGTAGGAACAAAGTCATTGAAATGTTTTGTTGCATCTGAAGATATTGCTTCGAAATTGCTTTTTCTTATTTCGCCACCACAGATGCTTTACTAACCAGGAGCTTTGGGCGATCTTAGATCATCCCGTTACAAAGTATATATGTCCTAGAAATCTATGTACACGGGACTAAATGTAGAACGTTTGCATATGTCTATACTACTTGAATGGACAGGATCTATGAACTAGAGTGTTTATGAAATTGGTGAATTGCCCTCAAAATTCCTGGACATGGAAAACTGTAGGGTCAATTCTGGAAAAAAACAACCAGTTAGATCTTCTGGATTTTCAATTGGTGATTCATACCATTTTCCCAATGTGCATAAAAATCTTGGGTAAATTTAGTTTATAGTGGAAAACATCTGAGCTTTGTGAATTTTCTTGTTAAGTCTGAGAAAGAATCCTACACCTGGGAAACATTTGGGTGGATTTCGTGAAAAATTCCCATCCTTATTCATTAACGATCCTTTGGTTATTATTTACCGAAACTTTCAATGGAATTTTCACTAAATTTACTAGAAATTGTTGTTTTTTCCCAAAGTTAGGAGTTTGGGCTAGCATACTTTGCTTAAATTCAAAGTTTTAATTCTTGAACCGCACTTGTAGGACATTTGTGAAAATCGTGGACTTTCAGTTAAAAAGGAACCCAAACCGGTGGTGATTTTGTGTATAAACTTGACAGCAGTGTAACTTTTTAGGTGTTTGCCAGATTTTTCCAAGATTTGCGCGAAATTCACACTGAATTTGTCAGTTTTTCACCAAAGCTGGTAGACTGGACATCCTACAAACATAATAATGAACTAAGGTTCATCCCTTCTCGAGTTCATGCTGTCTGTCAACAGTCATCTGACATTTCTGAATACAATCAGATCTTGGACATAAATAGAGTCTTATCCACTAGTGGTTAGTATGTAAAGGAATACTATTTTAGTCATCCGACACACACCTATCTTCGTTAGAATTTCGTTTAAAAGACTAATCACTACTACGCGAGCTAAAATCACAAATTGTGTCGATACACTATGTGTTAACAAATATCAAAATACGTAAACCCAGTCCAGAACATGTATAAGTCAACTTGGAACTTGCGTTTAAGTATATATTGGTAAACGTATCGATAGAAATATCGAAATCAGGAACCCAAATAAATTCATCCTAAATTTGATGTGAAATATCACAAATGTGAATTTCTGATCGAGAAAGGCATCTATCATCTCGAACCGCATTTTCAATACTTCATTATTATTACTGCATTATTCTTGTTCACTCACTACCCACTTTTTAAATTTTATCCCATTATGCTAATTTGGTTCGACGACTTGGGCAAATGCATAATTGTAACAGGACTTTTTATTATGACTGACCTCATGATTCGAAGTATTGTATACCCTGGGTAACTCAAAGACATCTGTCTGTGCCGATTTCACGTGACCCAACCAAGAGTTTCATTACTTAATACCAAAATAAACTTTAGACCAAAGCTGATCTGACAATGTTTTTAATAGGTTGATTTATTTGACCAGTTTTTGATATCTAGAATAACGAATAGAATAGTTTTCATAGATCCAGATATAAAGTACGAGTTTCTTGTTTGTAGTAAGATAGCATAAAGGGATCATGATGGTAATATTTATTTAATTAATTATTTATTTATTTGAACACAAATATTGGTACAAGAGAGCGCCAATATATATGCGCCACACAAAACAATGAGAATTCGAAGAGAAAAAAAGGTAAGGAGCGCAAAAAAGAGAACAATAACGAAGAGATTGGTGTAAGGTAGTGTAGTAATAATAATAGTAATAATGAGGGAAACGGAAAGGTACAATCAGAAGAAATCTTTCAGTTAAGGAAGACACAACCACTTTTTATGAAGAAAGTAAAAGAAGGTTACAGCAGGATCGCCACTGGCTTCTATTCTGAGCCATATCTGATAACGTCTCTAGCCACTGTGTAGCACCATCTCTCGGACCCCAACCAGGGAGTCGTGAAGGACCAACACAAGCCAGTCCTTTGCAGCTTTCTTTCATACCACGACACCATGTCATGCACTGACCACCTCTCCGCTTTTTCCAACCAGTCCCAGAGTCGGCAAATAATGCACGACGTGGAATTCTCTGGGACGACATTCGGAGAACATGTCCAAGCCACCGAAGTCGGTGTTTCAAGATGGTGACACCAATTGATTATCATCTCTGTGCCCGAACACACGATGCCGAACCTCTGCATTACTGACATGGTGTTGCCACTGGATGTCAGCAATCCTTCGGAGACAGCGATGATCGAACACAGAGAGTCGTCTAACGTCCTCAACTCGGAGAGGCCAGGTTTCACAAGCATAGAGCAAAACTGCTCTCACCGACGCGTTGTAGATCCGACCTTTTACAGCCAGACTAACATCACGAAGGCGCCAAAGGTGGCCCAGATTGGCATAAGCCGCTCTGGCTTTCACTATACGTGCATTGATCTCATCACTCACACCACCACCAGCACTTATGCAGCTACCCAGATACACGAACTTCTCAACTACGTCTATCTGCTCACCATCCAGGGTGAGTACAGGATTAGAATCCTGCCAGTCTTGTAGAAGTACTTTGCACTTCGAAGGTGCAAAGCACATACCATACCTACGGACACTGATTGCCAACTGATTAAGTGCGGATTGCATGCCTTGGGCATTATCGCACAGTAAGACAATATCGTCCGCATACTCAAGGTCGAGAAGTCTTTCTCCAGGCAACAGATCCACACCACCATTACTTACATTCATCAGAGCTGTTTCCAGAATGTCATCGATGGCAAAGTTGAAGAGGAATGGTGAGATTGGGCAACCCTGCCTAACCCCACTGCTCGAATGGAACAATGGAGAGAGGTGGTTGTATGCCCTCACTCTGCCTGAGGTGTTTTTATATAGGGCTTTTAGGATGTTAATAAACTTCTCAGGCACACCCTTCTTCAATAGACAATCCCAGAGAACAGTCCTGTCCAACGAATCGAAGGCAGCCCTGATGTCAAGAAACACTACGATTGTTGGCCTTTGATAAGTATGGCGGTGTTCTAACATTTGGCGGAGGGTGAAGATATGATCAATACATCCTCGACCAGAACGAAACCCAGCCTGCTCCTCGCGAGTCAATCTTTCTCGGGTTTTGAACAACCTACGAAGAATGACGGAAGCCAATAGCTTGGACGCAATCGGAAGTAAACTTATCCCCCGATAGTTGTTACAGGAACGACGTGAACCCTTTTTAAAGATAGGGACAACTATCGACTCATTCCATGACGTTGGTACACACTCTAGTTCCCAAACCTTTGTAAACAACGTCGTCAATTCCTTAGTCAAAAAGTCACCACCATCTTTAAAAAGAGCCGGAGGTAAGTCATCTGGGCCAGGTGATTTGTAACGCTTCAAGAGTTGGAGTTCCTTGCGGACTTCCTCCTCATTTGGTGGATCAGTCGTCACCGGCCATGGAGGGCAGGACAGTCTGACCGATGTTGCCGGAGCAGCAGGCCAGTTGAACTGCCCTTCGAAAAATTCTGCCCATCGTCCAAGACGTCGATGGATGTTAGTGATTGGCATCCCATCATCCTCGCAGATTGTTTCACTCACACCAGACTTCTTGCTGCCAGTGGCTCGGATGAGCTGGAAGAGCTTCCGGTAGTTACCAGATGCAGCTGCTGCTTCCAGCTCATTAGCACGCATCGACCACCAGGCTTCTCGGTCCTTACGCAAGCTTTGCCCAATTTCCTTACGTAACATCCTTCGTTTATGGTCAAACTCACGGTCACCCGGAGTAGACCGACGGGCTTCAATGAGTTGTAAGGAACCAGAAGAAACCCAGTGCTTAAAAGCGGGACGTTTCGCAAACCCACAACTGACTGTTCCCGCCATTTTCATGGCGTCATGCAATTGCAACCAATGCTCATCTATACTTTTCGGTGGAGTGGTAGCTAGCCTAGAGGCTAGCTCGGTTCGATACTTACTTGCAACAGAAGTTGCAACCAGCTTGCTAACATCAATCCGTTGATGGCGGTCACTTCGTTGTCCACTGAAAAGTAAGGCAAGATTGGCGCAGACCAAGGCATGGTCAGAGTCCAGATAGGTACTCCAAAAGGAGCGGCAGTCTTGTACACAACCACGCCAGCGGTAGCTGATCGCGATGTGATCAATCTGAGTCCAGGCTTGAGATGCAGAGGGAGGACGCCAGGTGGCACATCGGCGATGACTGTGCCGAAAGTTAGTGCTAGCCAGAAACAGGTTGTGGTCTGTGCAAAGTTGCAGTAGACGGTCCCCGTTATCTGACCTGCGACCAACGAGTCCCCATCGGCCACCTAAACGACTCTCTTCTGTGCCTAGACGCCCGACCTGAGCATTCAAGTCTCCGGCTAGTACTACAATATCTGTCGAACGCACTTTCTGGAGAAGAACAGATAACTGGTGGTAAAACTCATCCTTGATTGCATCCGGGCTGCAATCTGTCGGGGCATAGGCGGAGATGACGAAAAGACATCGTTTCTCACGCCGATTTCTTCTCACTTTGATGGAACTTTCTAATCTAACAGCACATAACCGACTGTTAATGGGGATCCAATCGACTAGTGCTGCCTCAGCTCTAGCGCTTAGTGCGACACCAACGCCAGCAAGACCAGACGAAGATGCCACAGGGTCCCCGGATAAGCGCACGTAAAACAAGCTTTTCGAAGCGACAGATGGAGATCGAATTTGTAGTACTTCGCCAGAGTCTTGAATACGGGTCTCGGATAGACAACAACATCGATATTAAGACTTTCCAAAGACATAGCCAGCCCTATCTGTTGTCCGACCTGCATAAATGTGCGAACGTTGAAGGCAGCCAGTTTGAATGGTGCACGTGGTTTCAGAAAAACTGCTTCAGTTCTCGTATTCGGTGGTAACATACAATTTTCAACCGGACAGTGACTCGAGAACGTTTAGATACAGTCGAATTTCCACCAAAGACGAGCCGCTGTATAAGTATAAAAGAGGGTGAATAATGTGGAAAATAATAATAATAATAATTTGTATCATTTGATTGTTATTCGAAGCGAGAAAAATAATTTCCATAGACATAAAGAGTTCATCATTTGTGTGTGGGCTGTGATACTGCCCTGGTGCCCAAACCGAAGCAGGTGGTTATCTTAGGGGGCCACACCCCGAGCCTTTGACCTAAAGGTCTAACCCACAAAGCAGTGGAGCATCGTAAGGAGATGCAGTCCCATGGCAGCCGGTGACCAACGATTGGTTCATACGCCATTTGTTCCCGCAGGATACTGGAGCCCATGTGCACCATTGGTTTGGAATCCGGTTAAAGCGCCGGACATTCGCTTTTCGTCCTCTTATTTTCGTAAACAACACCCCCGCCACGAGAAGGCAATGAGTAGGACTTCCCTAGCAGAGGCTGTATACGCGTGGCCGTGTGAGAGTATTTCGAGAGGGAGAGCGGACTCTCCCCACTCTCGGCCGTACCAGGGCATTTGGGGGCATGATGGTAATATAATTTATTAGCATTAAATAAAACGTCACTCGGTAGTCTTACCACATAAACTTCCTAAAACATCTGGTTCATAAATAAAACGAGGATTTTTTACATAGATATGTACCAGGTGAGTTTTAAAGTCACCAGCAATCAGCGTTCCATGTTTCAAATAAATGATTGCTTGTCATGAGTAAAAAATTATCAGTCAACATCAACCAACGAATTTTTAGTGAGGAAAAAGCAGCTATTTGCGGACATTTCCGTTTCAACAATGATAAGTTTAATTATGATATTTATATATGCTACTGAGAACTGTTCTGAGCCCTTATTTTGAAATTTAATTCCGGTTTGTGTAGTAGGGTGATGTAAACATTTTTATTCGGAATAGCCATGAGCTTAAATGTGTGATGTTTACATCGAATTGCAAACAATAATGGATATCCACTTAGTATCGGTCCTTCAATAGCCATCTGCTTGCTGATGCGACTTGATATTTTTACAGCAAAAGTGCAAAGGACACTGTCTTTGTAGTTATTGCTTTGTCATTTCCTTGAAGAGTTTACTACCATAGACAAGGTGTGGTATTAGTTTCTAAAAAAACATTTATACACCTATCATTTTAAAAAGTGGGAAATAGCATTATTCTGAGCAGTGACCAAACGTAATTTCACCACGTATGTTTCTGTATTTGCTCAAAGTGATTTAAATTCAGATACAGAAGACATAGTTTATGATTATAGTTTGTTTTGATTGCTGGGATATCCACCTGCTTTCTAGGAGGATTGCAATAAAATTGAAAGTGGCAAATGTACCGTGCTAATGTGGTATGGCAACTCAAACTCATGTACGTACGTACAAAGTTCTACGTTGTTACTGACTGACCGAAATGTACTGTTTAACTTTTTATAGTTCTATACATACTAATCTTCTATTGATGTAAATCTTTTGATAGGCAAACAATTTAATGTTTCAGTTGTTAATTTTTAGGTTGGTTTGGAAATGTCAGCTGCAGTACATATTGGTGAACTTGCATTTTTAAAGATGGTTTTACATGCTGCCAAGCATCCAGAGAGTTCTGTCAATGGTATTCTTTTAAGTGATCAAAACTGTGATTCACAAATAATCATTACTGACTATATTCCGCTATTTCACAGTGTCATAAATTTGACACCAATGCTGGAAACAGCTTTGTATCATGTTAGTCAAAATTCATGTTTATCAAAATTGAATGATAGGTAGACTCATATTGTGCAGCTAAAGGTCTTCAAATATGTGGTTATTTCCAAGCAAATGAATACATTAATTGCAATACGTAATTTTGTTATTTTTTCATTTTCCACTGTAAAAAATATAGCCCAACAAGTATTGCATGCAAAATTGGTGAGAAGTTAGCTGAAAAATTTGGCAACGTTTGTTTATTGACTGTAAGTTACATTATCCGGTTACGATCTGTAAAAAAACCTAATAATTTAATAGTTTAAAAATGATGCTTTGCATCGGTTAACTGGAAACTACTTTACAGTATTTTGCAAATCAGATTGGAAGTGGAATGATACAAAGTAAGTTCTACTTCAGTAAATATTCTGTTCATGAATTCAGGTACACATTTAATCCAAATGTTAATAAAAAGTTAAAAGAAATTCTACATTTAAAAGTTCACCGTCAAATTGTTGATTTTGATGATCATTTGAATGATGTTAATTGTGATTTTCTTAATTTACAATTATCGAAATCGTTATGTGTATAAATTGATTTTTTAATGTAAAGTTTTTAATTTTTTTTCCAAACAACAATAATATCTAGCTGACATCTTTTTCTTAATTGTTTTAGATATTTGCTAAATAATATTTCTATGAAATAATAACGTATAGCTAGATATTACCGTAGAGTTTCTGTTTTATCCTTATGCCGGATTAATTATGTAACGTGATATGACCACCAATTAAAGACACTGACTTATACAAGCAGTCTAGTTTTCTTATTGGTCTACCGAGATGATAGCTTTTCTCCTAATCCAGCCGGTTTAAGTCCAGAACGCTAATATCAGCCTCCACAATACGAATCATACATTTAAGTTATACTGAGTTTATATACAATCAAACCAGACTGCATCATACCATAAAATAGAAAATAACAATTATACAAGATCAAGTCAAAAATTGGCTGTGATTATGAGAGACAATTATTAATAAATTGGGAATATCTTAAGAATATTAAATCGTATAATAATAGTCAACAGGTCAAATAAAGTTCATAATAAAAAGAATATGAATATATATAAAGTATAGTTATTTAATGGTTATATAATAAGAATATATGTAATAAATGTCCACAAATAGATCTTAGCGGTTACTATTCACATATTCTTCGTCCGGAAACAACAGTTTTGGTAAAGCGAACACTAGGAAACAATTCAATAACGTATGATACGATTGTCACGGATTCATACTGGATACTCTTCCCAGGAATTTCTTCTCATGCGTTAAACATGCTTGTAACAATTAACAGGGCTAGGAGAATATTTAACAAAATACAAATGACTACCGTCCGCACTTTTTAGCCGATCACACCTTATTATGATAAAACATACAGATAAAGTGTATCATGACTTTCGTAAATGTAAAGTATCAATTCATACATTCGTAATTTTAACGTTCGATCTCGTAAGTTGTGTTAAAAAACTTCTTAATTTAATGTTAGTTCACACGATATCCTCTGTAAACATAATATTATTGATTGATAAAATATGAACTCATCTCATTTATATTATTGCATGTTGTCTTTTAAAATTATGATTAAAAACATAACGTATTAAATATCGTGATAAAAAAAAGACACAATTAGATATTACTATCCTATAATAGAAGAAAGACAGGAGAAAATACATTTTGGGAATCAATAAAATTTAATCAACCGTCAGTAAATAAACTTCAGTAGATTTGTTCATCTCGTGTAGCTCTCCTAGAGTCACTACCGGTTCCAAGCCTGGGTAAAAGAAAAGGGTTTGGCATAGAGTCGGCAACCCTACACCAGAGAAAAAAACCTTGCTAAAAACTCCAACCAGATATGTTCGAGAGTACCTTTGAAAAGTTGATAACTCGATTTATCCTTAAATACATTATTCCTAGCTTAAAAGTAAAATTAAAACTGATTAAAAGATTATCACACAAAATTGATGTATTATCAGGCTGCTCTCAAGATCTATGGTAACATTTATCACAAAGTGACAAGCCTCTATAAGATCGGAACGATCAATACATAAAAATAGAAGAGGATCCAACGAAGAGAATTTCATTTTCGATGTAATCCTTACTTACATTTGTATTTATAATTGTTTGGTAAATATATACGTCTATAGAAAGATAGCGTCACAAATAGATTCGAGATTTCAAATGAGGTTGCATAATAAGCATGGGGTTAGAGAAGAATAGTAAATAGAAAATAATTTACGAGTCAGAATTATGGGATAACTATCCTCTTGAAGGATATGGATAGAAATGTAAAGTTTACAATAACTGGATATTACTGCAGATGGAAATTAAGACAAAGAAAGGATCCTAGCCCCATACTAATAACTACTATGTGTTCACCAGTAGCTAGCTTCGTGTGGGAATTCTCGAAGTTTTAGTGAGAGATCGTGACCAGTGAGGCTAATCCGTGTCAGGTATCTACCTCAGACAGTGCGTTTCTCAATTTTCTTATCTCAAGATGCCACAGGTATTCTGAGTTTGACGACGCCTTTACACGTAGGTCCTTCAGTTAGGTGCGTTTAGAAAAACTAATGAGGTCAGCATCAGTGTTAAAGACTTACAGAACCACCTAATTTGGGGATTAATTTACCGCTATATATCTGTCAAGTATACAATTATCTCTCATAATTCTGACTTTTTCTATCTACTATTCTTCTCTAACCCCATGCTTATTACGGAACCTCATTTGAAATCTCAAATCTATTTGTGATGCAATCTTTTCTATCTCTCTAAAGACCTATGTATTTGCCAAACAGCTATAAATATAAATGTACAGCTTAAGGAAACTTTATTCGCTGAATTCTATTTTTATTCAACGGCAATCTATTTCTGAAGATAGTTAGAAATGAGCTCAACATTCATCATGAGCTAACTCATAGGGCTAGTACGCAAAGATCACTGTGTGATGTCGAAAATTCCTAAATACTAGGTTTATATAAAACAATGATACATCTGTACTGTAGCTAACATTCAGTATTCGATCATAGGTGTTTTTGAAACACTGCTCGGATATTCTCCATCCCAATAGGCAGTTGATTGGAGGTCTGTATATAACACTTTTTGGTAGAACATGCTGGCGAAGACACTCGTGGAGAAAATACAGTTGTTCTCGAGTGGAAGCATGCCTTTTGGCGAAATTTTCGCATTTTCGAACAAAGAGAAGCATACTACGTTCATATGGTTTTGAAATGGTAGAGAAGATTTGTAGCTGAAGTTTGTGCTGATGATGTCGTTCAGAAGAACGATGAAACCTGCACAACCAAACCATCCAGCTCAGAGAACAAAGCTTCACCAAAATCAAATTTTCTCTATTGTTTCATAGATTTGTGCTTTTAGAATTGTTTCCTGCATGCCTCATGTATTTTGCTACCATAATCGTGTTACTAATTCTACTACTCTGAAAATTTATCTCGTATTAATAGGGTATGGCAACTTGAACCGATGTAAATGTGCTAGGTACTATGTTGCGTCCGGCTGACTAACATATTCAGAAACACATTAGGCGTTTGACACAACCGACCATACGATATATTTGCTATGTTGTAATCGGAACACACTTCATAAGTAAGTTCTAATGTGATGTGATAATTTGGGCCAAAATACATCTGTGCTAGTTTCTATGTTGACGATGCCTGTCTGTCCTTTATAAGTACAATGTCCTGATCATGAAGCTGCTGCATCAACACAGTGATTTAACTTTCCTGTTTTATGTAACTTCGTCGTTTTGAGATTTGTTAGCGGAATTCATGACTTTTACCTCAGTCAATTACTAACACCAACTTGAATAGCCAACATAATTGCCATAATAAACGTTAAAATATTAAGGATTCCAATGTTCAACAAACTACGAAACAATAACATCTTAAAGTTTCAGTGGAGTTCCTGTCAACCTTCAAGTCAATACGGTCTTCAATATGAAATTGCTTTCTCGAGAGACAAATTCAACGTAGTTTTCTACCGCTGATTAATATGTCTTATGTTGCCATCACCGCTTCTATTGTTTTACTAAAATTAGTCGGTGAAACTCAGTATAATATTCCCGTCTATGGGGAAAAGTTTCCGAAATATATGATGCTCCACAAGCCACAATAACCTAGGTTTTCTTGGGATTAACTATTGATAGAATGTTCTAAATAAGATTGGTCAACCAAACAGTAAAGGGTATCAAGTAATAAGATGTCCAAGATCTAAGGAATATATCAGAGCCATTAATGCTAATCCTATGCTGTGTACCAGAAACTCTTTATGTACTGATTTCATCTGTCTCATGGGCTCCAACTAAAAATATTTCTATAGCCTTACACAACTTTTCGAAAAGACAGTTATCTTCATAGTCCAGTGCATTGCTTTCGTTTGTCTATATGTGAAACACAAGTGAGAAAGCAAGATCCTCAAATACAACACGGAGAACACCAATCCAATCATACTTGGTGGAGAAATTATGGATGAGGTGGACATGTGCTTCTTCGGACAGCATAAGAGGAACTCCGTGAGTGTGTGGAACATTTTCCTCTTCATGACCGGAGTACAGGAGCACCTCCCCCGTATCTAGCCTTTGCTGTCCAGCTAGGGTCCAATGTGTTTCGCTGATTCCGAGTACTGCCAGTTCGTATCTCCCCATTTCCGTTGCTATTTGACTGGTCTTTCCTATTTCCCACATTGTCTGGACGTTCCATGTGCCTATAAAAATTCTTGCTCTGGTTGTTAGAAGGGGAATCGGCCTCGTGACTTGCGAAGAAATACGGCTTTCATCCTGAGGCGTCATAATTCTTCCTTCAACTCCCCGGCAGAGTTTAACTGGTTTAATTTATTTAATCTGGTTGGTGTTTTTTAGCATGATTTTTCTCTACGGGATAGGGTTTCTGACCCCATGCCCAATCCTCCTCTTTTACCCGGGCATGAGACCGGCAGTAATTCTAGAAGAACAGGCGGAATTTGATTCAAACTATGAAATATCTAATATTTATCTATCAAAATGCAACTCAATACATAGGATGAGATTGATTTAAAATCCATCGAAATTACCTGAGTCATAAAGGTTACCAAGCATCAAAGTATTCAATTTACGTTGATTTGATGATAGGCATCGTCATTAATGTGTTATAATCAAGCAAAGATGAGCCATACTTCTATCAAGGTGCTAGACGTCACAATATTTATTAAATTTGAATGGTAGAAGACTGAGAAATTAGAGTTAGTTTTCAAACTAAAAATTATATAAGCAGACATGTCTTCGTAATGCTAGCATTTTGAGTCGTCAATATCCTCACTATTATTTTTGGTTGAAACCTATCAAAACCTATGTATGTCTATGAAGTGTATCCTTCAGAAGTATCGGTAAATACACAGAATACAATCAAATATGAAGTAAAATACCTATTAAAACTTTATGCTAGAAATATATACACAAGGTTTTATAGTTAAACAGAATTTACAGACAATGTTATATGAGCGTTTCTCTCACGTCTGACAACTTGCTGGTTACGATAACGATGACGTTCTGCTTTTCGCTTAATAACCATGGGGTTAGTAATTTGTCCGTGATGAGATGAACTCTTTTTTAGTGGGACACGTCCTCCCAACATAAGAGCATCTAAATCACGTTCACCTGCTGCTAATAATTCCGAAATATTAGTTTCTGTGGTTGTGTCTTCATCAACACCAATTAAATCATCCAAGAAATTGTCATGTTCTTCAGGTATGGGTTTACGCGGTTTATGATGTGTCGGATTCTGTGGAACTATCAGTGGAAGTCTTTGAGGTAATTCATAAGATTTTGAGTGGATCACAACAGACGAACCACCAGACTCATTGACATTATTCTTGCTAAAATCATTGGCATGACCACATGCAGGAGATGCCAATACATGCGGATACATATCACGATCAGCAGCAAATTCTACGACATGAAGTCCTAAACTGTTAGCTAAATCTTCATACGTTTTCTAAAAAGAAAAAAAGGAACGTCACAATAAAGTGTTCCGAATACATAGATAAAGAGTTAATGTTTTCGACATAAGCACCAACAGATCACCCTAATTAATACAAGTAATTGTGTACACAAGCCAAATTGCAAATGAAATCGGAATATTGTAGTAGCAGTGATAACGCGAAAAAACTGAGCATTGGAAATATCGTTCGGAAAGATAAAATGGAAAGGTGTGTATCGGAGGAATATTAGGATTCGAGAATGAGAGGGAGATAGAGTGAATGTGTCTGAATATTGTAGATTATTCTGAACTATTAAACACAAAGTCTCCAACCATTGATTGCGGTTGTCACGTGGAGCTTAACCAAGTAATCTGAATCTACCAACATTGCTCAGTTAGTGACTATATGGACTGATGTTACATCTAGATTTAGTCGCCCCTAGGTCTCATCCTCTAGCCTTTCTTCCATAACAACAAACATTACCCATCAAAGTGATTGGTAGTTAGGCATATGTAACCCATGTCTCTAACCACCTTAGTCGATAAAGATTTATAAACTTATTGACAGATATCGCACCTTTGGCTAGTACTCTAAATCTAACCTCAATGTTGATCACTTATTCGTTTCTCGAAACCGAAAAAAACAGGTTTGCATCAGAATATCAGGTTATATGTAAATTAAGAAAATAATAAATTTCTCTTAAAAAACAACAAAAACGTACACTTTTCTCGATAATTAACTATGTAGACAAGATCTATATTGTCAGAGTATTATATTAGAATCCCTGAACATCAGCCAATATTCCCCTTTTTATTTATATAACTAATTTTACGTACTAAAATAATACTTGTAATATACTATCAGTCTATATAAAAATATTTACAATTTGCTAAAAATAACTAACTTAATGACGGATTGTACTTAAAATGTAATAAATAGTCAGTGTAATTTATTCAACATCAAATGAATTTAAATTGATATCACAAATGGATGAATGTTAGGCCACCAATAGAAACCTGGGAGCACTGAACGGCCGTTTCGTCTTGGCATGGAACTCCTCAGCAGTGAGTATCCACGATTCCGCACCAGGGACTCGAACCCAGGACCTTCGTTCTCGCGAGCGAATGCTCAATCCTATACTGACAATTAAATGTATTGGATAACTAGTGCATTTATTTATAACAATCCCATTCTATCTGTTATTTTTTTTGGAGCGAGTAAACTATATATATATATAACTACAAGATAAACCAAATTGTCATTTATATTCGATTTTACATACTTGTTGTTTTAATAAACGTAAAAAACCTCTGGCTATTGCTTGATAATTATTTGTACTACCTTCAACTCTAGCATACATATCTTTAATTCCAATAACTTGACATAATGTTTTAATCATACGATGACATTTTAGACCAGCACCTTGAGAAAAGAAATAGTACGTAACAATTTATTTATAGAATATATTTATGATACACGATCTGAGAAATTATTCAAAATTAAATAGTACATTAACTAGTTATACAGTTTCAAGCCCATATCCGCACGATTATTGTAACCAATAATTTCGAAGGATTGAATAAGTATTAGGTTGGCTTCCACATAGAGTATTAATTGCTGACACAGAGGACTGGGTAGAAAAAGCGGAGAGATAGTCAGTTTATGACTTGGTGCCAAAGTATGAAAAAAAACTGTACAGTATTTGTCTGTCTTCCACAACTTCCTGGTTAGGATCCTAAAGACAATGCAATTCAATGGCATCAGTTGTTATCAAACATGACCCAGATTAATGGCTAAGGAAGATCATGCTATGATTTATTTTTACATTCATAACATTAAGAAAAACTCACTTTATTGGGAAAGACTTTTTAGCTATATTTATTACCTAAAATGTATTCTTGTTAACTTCTTTTCCTTGATTGTACTTTCTAGTACTTATCTCGTCATAATATCTCCTTATTTTTTGTGCCAAGTTGAATAAATCAAAATAATCCTTAAATTATATATATATAAAGTATGGTTTAAATTAGAGTAGTCGAGCTTATAACTGCCTAATTAAGTTCACATTCTTTGCACACACACAAACAAACAGGATACACTAGTAAAATTGGTTTACTTTAACCATTTTCCAGAGTCTATTATTATTATCAGCATTATTTTGCTTAAAAATTAAGAGATTAACATGATTAAGCTTACCTTCTGATAGAGGAGCTGCAAAGATTTTACTGTTCCATTGACAAACATACCCAACATGCCATACTGTAATTGATGAGAAAAGTATTATGAATTATGTAGAGAATTAATTATATTTTTTAATGGTTGTATTCATGAATCGATGTAAGCTAAACCACCATTGAAAACTTGGAAGCACTGGACGGCCGTTTCGTCCTAGTATGGGACGATGTGTTATTTGCGCCCATGATTTGTCATATATAACACAAGATTGACAAGTGCTTTCTTGCATACATATTACTAGAAAATCTTATACAAATTGATCAACGTAAAGGTATCGAAAGGTGTGGTGAAAAATAGTGAAATCCTCCGATTCGTAGTAAAATTACATTACACGGTTTGTCGAATGATAACATATATCAAATCTTTGACGAAACGTAAGAAATACTCTTAGAAAATGCGTAAAATGTTTAAAGCCATCTGTGAAGTCGATGAATTAGAAGACTGCTCGTTTTAAGTGAAACAAATGTCTTAATGATGGACATAAAGACGATAAGGATGGTTTGAGAGCAGAGCGACCATCAACTGAATATTATTGATGAAGCTGTCCGATACTTTATGCCCTTCGTAATTTAAAATTATTAATTCATCACTGTCCGGCAACTTATTATTGAAGTAAACTCTAAGAAAAACATTTTAGATTATAGATAAAACATGAAACGATGAGATAGTTGGTGAGTCTAACCACTGAGTGGTATTTCAAACAATGAGAACGGAGATATAACAAGTGTTTAATGTTACAAGTGGGAATTATTTTAAAGGGAATAAGATTTATGAAGTTCATTTTTATGATCTGCTTTTGACTTTCTTTTTACTCCAGTTCCTTTTTGTTTGTTACCTTATATCGCTTATTAACATTCAATAACTCCTTTTCATTCGCAGTACCCGATATTTCTCGATCAAATTAGCTCCTCCCTCTTTTTCTCATTTTATTCTTTTGTTTTTTTATTCCAATACAAGACGATTTAGGTCTATATTTATCAAAATGATATTCTAACATTACTGGTTAGCATGTAAATTGAGTTTTGATTATTGTTGAAGCATACATGAAACTGATTGACAATAAAATTACATAAACAGCCTCGTAAACATTTGTTATCAGATATCACTATAAGTGTCTGAATCATCCGGTTATCCAGTTATCTTTCCTTCTCGATCTTCTACTGAAATACATTCTATTCCTGACTATCGTTATATACTACTTATGTGGATATAAGTAGCTCACATCATAATACTACTCAACGAGATTAAAATCTGTGACTTACTAGTTAAAAGCTGAGTGATCTAATCATACAATCACCGTTTCTATACAAACTAAAAACACTTAATGGATAACTGATATACATATATATGTATATGAAAACTTTAAAAAACGTACATGTTCTTCCTTCTTTAAGATCAAATGATATAACATTTTGTGAGGCACGTAATTTAGCACGTCGAGTTGCAGATAATAGATTTAAAGCTTTTGCTTTACCAATACCACATAAACCTTGTCCATTACCAGTTGCAACAACAACTGAAAATCGACGATAACGTCCTTTTGTTGCAGTCACTGTTGCGACAACCTAAATTATACAAACAAAATTTATTAGTATTATCCAATAATTCTATTGATTTTTGTAACTAGAAAACCTAAGTAATTTAGTATGTCAACCATAAAATTCTAAATGTATAAATGAAATTAACTCAGTCAGTCAGCTACAACGTAGGACCAGGCACATATATTCATAGGTCCAAGTTGCCATACCTCATTAACACAACAAGATGGACACCGGATTCATATAAGTGGTTAATTCAGAGGTGGTAATATATAAAAGAAAGATTGCAATAAGGATATAGTACAGGAAGAAAGAATTAGTTCGTAGAAAGAAAGATATGAAGCAATTTTAATCTCTTAGTTTAAGAGAAGACAGAGAATGTACACACCTACGCCATTGTGATCGATTCTGAGCCATGTCACCAAGAATCTCCAACCATTGGCTACGATAGTCACGCGGACCCCAACCAAGTAATCTGCATCTACCAACATGGTTCAGACTACAAGTTAGTGACTTCAAGCACTGATGCCACGTTTTGGTTTGGCCGACCCTAACTTTCTTCCAACCATCTCCAATACCGGTTAGCATTGCACGTCGTGGTAATCGGTGTTCAGGCATACGTAACACGTGACCCAACCATCTCAGTCGATGAAGATTCACAACCTCATCAACTGATTTACCATCATCCCCTAATACCCTGCGTCTAACCTCACTATTACTTACCCGGTGATCCCAGCAGACGCCAGCAATATTTCTAAGGCATCTGTGGTCAAATACTAATAGCTTACGAGTGTCTTCTACTCTTAATGGCCATGTTTCGCTGCCGTAAAGTAAAACAGAACGAACTGCCGCGCAGTATACTCGTCCTTTTATTGATAGACGGATATCTCGCCTTCGCCACAGGTGACGTAAGTTGGCAAAAGCCAAACGAGCTTTTCGAATCCGTGCTGAGATTTCGTCCGATATCAGCCCATTAGGGCTGATCAGACTTCCAAGATATGTGAAGTTGTCAACGCGTTCGACTAGTTCACTCCCTATCCTTAGTTCAGGTGTTGACGCAGACCAGTCCTGAAGCAACAATTTGCATTTAGAGGGAGAGAAGCGCATTCCAAACATTCTGGCATTGTTGCTCAGTGCTACCAGAAGACTCTGCATTCTATCAGCGTCTTCACCAAACAGGACTATATCATCTGAGTATTCTAAGTCGGTAAGTGGACCTCCTGGAAAGAGATCAATACCCGAGAATTCAGTAGACGAGAATGTTGTTTCTATCAATAGGTCTATGATGAAGTTAAACAAAAATGGAGAAAGTGGACAGCCTTCACAAGGTTTATGTACTTCTGAGGTACGCCTTTCAATGACAGACACTGCCACAGAATCTCGCGGTCTACAGAGTCAAATGCTGCTTTTAAGTCAAGAAAGACCACCATTGTCGGACGCCGATAAGTATGCCTGTGTTCTAGAACCTGACGAATGGTGAATATGTGGTCGATGCAGCCACGACCAGGTCTGAAGCCAGCTTGGTTCTCTCGTGTTTGCAGTTCACGAGTCTTAGTTAGGCGTCTGATAATTATCGAGGCTAGTATTTTAGATACTATATAGTTAAACTAATCCCTCTGTGGTTGTCACAGGATGATTTTGACCCTTTCTTATATATTGGGACGATAAGTGATTGCGACCAGTCAGATGGGATAACGTCTAATCCCAGATCTTAGCTAAAATATTAGTCAACCTAATCGCTAAAATTGGACCACCATCCTTAAAGACTTCTGGAGCCAATCCATCTGGACCAGCTGCCCTTCCTCGTTTCAGATTAACTATAGCCTTCTCAACTTCAGCAAGAGTTGGGGGACCTACTTCAATGTTCCATTCACATTGTCTGGGAATGGAGGGTAGTTGTAGAGTAGCTGAAGGCCAGCTGAACTGTTCTCTAAAATGTTCCGCCCATCGTTCTAAACGTCTGGACTGGGAGCAGATGAGAGTATCGTCTTTTTCCGAAATAATCTCACTTACACTTGACTTATTAATTCCAGTTTCTTTTATTAGTCTGTAAAGCTGTCTTGTGTTCCCTATAGTCGCCGCCTTTTCCATCTCTTTTGCTTTCGTTACCCACCACTGCTCACGGTCGTTCCTTAGACTTTTTCTTAACCTAGATCTGATTTGTTTCGCTCTTCATCATGTTCAGAACCTGATGGGACGAGTTTGCGAGAATCCATCAGTGCAATAGACCTTGAAGAAATCCACTGGTTCTTTGTAACTCTGTGGTTTAAGTCACTAATAGATGTCACTGCTGTTTCCACAGCTGTTGTATGCTTTCCAAGCAACATCTGGGTCAGCCTCGTTTTCAGAACTACCTAAGTGTGACCTCAGTTGTTCCTGGAACCTACTTTTGGTTTTCTCGTTACTCAACTCAGTTCTAATGGGTCTTTTTAATGTGGCTTTTTTGCGTCCAGTGAGGCGCAAGCAGATGCGTGCCCGTATTAGGGCATGGTCGGAGTCCAAGCAGGTACTCCAGAATGAGCGACAATCTTCTACCGACCCTCTCCAACGATGACTGATGGCAATATGGTCTATTTGAGTCCATCGTTGGTTTGGTGTAGGGGGTCGCCATGTTAGACGATGTCTCTCCTTATGCTTAAAATTTGTGTTTGCTAAAAATAAACGATTGTCTGAGCATAGTTGCAGCAGACGATCACCATTATCTGTTCGCTGTGTCGGAATACTAAAATATCCACCTAAATGCCTTTCTGTTTGGTTTAAACTACCTATCTGAGCATTAAAGTCACCTGCTACGAGTACTATGTCTGAGCGTTTAGCTTTCTGAAGAAGTTCGGATAGCTTTCTGTAAAATTCATCTTTCACTTCATCTGAGCTGCAGTCAGTGGGAGCGTAGGCAGAAACGACAAAAAGGCAACGACGTGTGTCCCTATCCTTCCGAGTTCTTACGTAGCCGTTTAGCCGAACAGCACATAGACGACTGTTGACGGGGATCCACTCTAGCAGTGCTTGTTCCGCCCTCATGCTTAGTGCTATGCCTACACCTGCCAGTCCACGAGAACTGCCATCGGGTCACCAGATACACGAAGGGTGTATCTCGTTGGCTCTCCGTTTGCCGAGGTGAGGTCAAGTGAATGACCACACTGGAATCCTGTATGCGTGTTTCGGAGACACAGCATACATCAATGGAAAGAGACTCTAGGGTTTTAGCCAAGGAAGCCTGCTGACCGATTTGACATAGGGTGCGTACGTTGAAGGCTCCAATGTGTAGTTTGGAGCGAGGTTTCAGTAGACCTGGGACAGTGTTTTGAGCACTAGAATCGTTGGCTATGGTGACACTTGAGGAGGAAGCCAAAGAGAAAGTTTAGAGTTGAAAGTCGATGTAGGAGGAATTGAAGAGGAGGTTGATTATGAATACAGTGGTCCTGAGTGCTGTTAGAAGTATGAGGGCGGTTATCACTTCCCGGTTGCCCACACCGTGGAAGGGTTCTTCTGGAGGTACCTGAAAAGGAAATTGGATTAGAGGTGGTCTTAGTGACCTGAGAGCGTGACCGCAGTGCCCAAGGGACAACTGCTTGAGGTCGGTCACACACGACCTTTTATGGGTAATTTTTGTGTTAGCTCCGTACTTATTGAGACCTTACCGCCGGAGACGGATATCCGTGGGATAAGGCGAGGTGTGCATTTTTAGGGTCGACCTTTTCTAACCCCACCCCTCCTTGTGGGAAGGCAGCATCGCTGTCATGCTGGTTGTCTGAAGGAAACACCTTACTGCTGTCACACCTCTGTACAGTCAGCAGTACGACTTCGCCTTCGGACCTTGGGTTTGTTGCTTTTAGTCTTACCGCTCTTCAACCGACCTGTCTGACATGGTAGGACCTTGAGGAACGGTTGTTCCAGCCAGTATAGCTCGGTTGCTTCATCACGATAGGCAAGCCCGACCACCACGTCAAGGTAGCAACAACGATCGATAAGAAATCTCATTTAGGTTGAGATATCGGACCCAAGACGTTCGGTCTCTCGCGCGAACGCTTGGCCCGAGTTCGAGTCTCGTGCGCGGGATCGTAGATGCGCATTGCTTGGAAGTCCCATACCAGGACAAAACGGCCGTTCAGTGCTTCTAGGTTTTCAATGATTTACCTTAGATCGACTCATTAATTTAACTAAGAATTGCCTGAAAACTAGCCACGATTGTTTTAACTTTGTCCCCATACTAAATTCTTGCTATGAATGGTTTATAGTTTATTAAAAGCTAAGTAAAAACCACTGACATTTAATTACTTAGACTCTTAAAATTGATAAATATGAGATTAAAGAATAAAAAAGATGATTTATGAATTATTATCAGTCACTTAAAGTTCCGTGAAATTTAGAATCAGAGTTAACTGCACAAGTATTTATTCATATGACTACAAAGTATTCTATTGTATTCTTTACAAGCACTATTAACTTCTAACTTGAAATATTAGTTCAAACCCCTAATCTCAATAACTACATTCTCTTTTTTGGAGGGGTAAAATATTCATTTAAATCACATGAAGTTTGATCGATTGAAAATTGTTTTTACTGTCATGGAATTATTCTACGAGTCTGTGAAAGTTGTCAGTAAGGTATATCTTCACTCGGTTATGATTCGTGAAATTTATTTTTAATATTGATAATAAAGAAAGAGACTCATTGTGTCACTGAAGAAGAAAGAAGGCAGTTTAGCGAGGGAACTTTTCTTCTAGACGACTTTACTTACTCAAGCTGTACAATCGTACTTACTTACTTATTTACTTACGCCTGTTACTCCCAATGGAGCATAGGCAGCCGACCAGCATTCCCCAACAATCATAAAATCGTAATCATAGTTAGTTTTATTTGATAAAATAGTGTTCTATAATAGGATAGAAATGTGCTAATTATTTTCTTAAAAAGCTTGAAGTGGCATGCTATCAAGAACTGAAAATCAGATATTTAAAATTATGTAAAAATTGGCTGGTGAAAATGTGGTAAGATAAGTCAATTATTACATGACTTCCTTTCGAGTCCAGGAGTGAATATCAACTCTTGGATGCAAGTACATCCAGCTGAGGAGTCCCAAACAGGACGAACCGCGTGTCAATCTGGATTCCACTGCTAATCACCATCCATATTTGCTTATAATGCTTGTGACTTACGGTAATATCGAGGCAATCCGTACAGAAAGCACATATGCCAATAAGAGACTGATTAAATGCAGTCCTAAATATCAATCGGAAGATTCAAACAAACAATACTAAAATGAATTTATACTACTTAAAGTTTTTTCGAAAAATAATTAGCACCTTTCTATCTTACTTTCTAGCAAATATAATTAACTAAAAATACGATTGTACAGCTTAAGTAAATGAAATCTTCGAGAAGAAACGTTTCCACGCTGAACTGTCTTCGTTCCTGATAATATTGTCATTTTAACTGGGAAACAATTCATAATTATATACACAATGTATTAGAGTAACAGAAGTAATTTCTATTTACTGAAATTTATTCATGATATGAGTTGTGGTTTGATAGCTGACGCATATTATCATATTATGAAAGGTAAATTAACTTGCTGTTCCCCTGTTTTGATTAAGCACATTTAGTACATAAAATATTTGGATGGGCTAATAATAAGTAACAGGACACCTACCTAGCGGCTACATTGAAGTCGAGTAAATTCATAACACCTAGAACTAAAACTTTTTCTTGACTGTATTTACACATTCAAAGTGAATAAAACAAGCAGCTATTACAGTGTTATTAAATGTTGAATAATAATAATAATAATCAGTCCCAATGGGTTGGTGTCTGACGAAATCTCTGCAAGAATTCAAAAAGCGCGTTTGGTTTTTGCCAACTTACGTCACCTATGGCGAAGGCGAGATATCCGTCTATCAATTAAAAGACAAGAATACTGAGCGGCAGTTCGTTCTGTTTTTCTTTACGGTTGCGAAACATGGCCATAAAGAGTAAAAGATACTTGTAAGTTACTAGGATTTGATCACAGATGTTTCAAAAATATTGTTCCCATCTGCTGGGATCACCGGATAAGCAATACTGAGGTTAGACGCAGGGTATTAGCGAATAATTCTAAATCAGTTGATGAGGTTGTGAATCTTCATAGATTGAAATGGATGGGACATATAATACGCATGCTCACCCGCCGATTACTACTGCGCACAATGCTGACGAGTGTTGGAGACGGTTGAAAGCTAGGGGCGGCCAAACCAAAATGTGGCATCAGGCCATGTTGATAGATTCAGACTACTTGGTTGGGGTCCGCGCGACTGTCGTAACCAATGGTTGGGAACTGGGTGATTTGGTTCAAAATCGATCACAATGGAGTAGGTGTTTACACTCTTTGTCTTCTCTTAAACCATGAGATTACTTTATACCTTTCATTGTACGAACTAATTCTTTCTCTCTGTATCATATCCTTATATGCAATGTTTCTCTTATATATTACTACCACTAAATTAATTGCTTCTGTGAATTAGGTAATCATGTTGTGTTAATGAGATGTGACAACTTGGACCGATGCATATATGTGCCTGGTCCTACGTTGTAACTGACTGACGGAATAATAATAATGTATGGAATAGTGTTAGCTGGGAAATTATCAAAAATCAGGAAACATTGAACATTTTTTATCAAAACAAACAAATCTTCATAAACCACTTGGTCCCACTAGTGTATATGTGTATCTATAAATATTGCTGGACTCAGTTACATATACAACATATACATATACAGCACGCAGCTACCAAGTACACATTGATCAGTAACACTTTAAGTTAAATTTATTGCTTATTAAGCTGACTGATTTTCTCCAGACAACAAGATAGAACTATGTAAGAAAGTGTTTTGAGAGATGAAATTTAAGTGTAACATATATAATAAATATATATAATCATTTCTTTTGAAAAAATGAATTTACTTTTGACTCGATAACAAAACAATCGAAATCTGGGTTATTTGGTGTAGGTGAACCAACAGATTGTCCTCCCAATAGCTTTCCTGTCCAACCACGTTGTAAAGGAGTTAATTTCATGCGTTTCTTTTTTACGGCAGATTTATTACGAAGCATTTCTAACCTTTCGAAGTACTCTTCATTGTAGTCACCCTGTATAAAAGAGGATAAAATAAGATCATGCTAATGACATTGAACAAAAGTGTTTAGTTAATTAACAATTTATAATAAAAAGCAATCAACTACAACAGGTAAAGTTTAGACATGATTAACAAACATTTACATACTGGATTGTTTATCATAATAAACGAAGAGAGATTAAGGTAAACAACAAGAGGTCAGGTTGGGGTTAGAAGTTGAGTAAGGATTGGAGTTAGGAATTATGGTTAGGGTTAGAAGTTAGGTTTATGGGTTAGTGTTAGTTTTTTTTTACGTACCGACGTCAGTTAAAATGCAACAATGTTTTATGGTCAAACTGATGAATTGATCCTGAGAAAAATTCGAGAAACACTGCCTTATATCTGATTGGCTATTCCGTAAAGTAAAGTGTCCTACCACAGAAGCATCTTTGACTATGCCGTAAATCATATCAAAAATATACTTAAAAAGTAACTATGGCTTCAGATACAGTCTGCATAAATGAATATCATCCAAATAACTACATGAATTATAGTATATACGACTTGATGATAGAGTAAACAAACATTTTATTAAAGTTTATTTCCAATTTTGACATAAACAACAGAACGAACTGAAGAAGCTAAGAAAAAAACCTAATATGCCCTTTAAAGAAATAACTATTTTTATCTTAAATAATCGACAATGTCTGAGTTTTTTTATTCTCTAGTAATTTATTCAGAATGTTGACGTTGTATAAGATTTATTAGTTCGAAGATACTACTAATATTAATACACAAGTAGGTCCTAGTTTGTCCTGAACAAAATTAAACAATGACTGGAAAATCATAGTTGAATATAGTTACTAAGACAATACAAATAGTTGGGGGCAAGACATAATTTCTGTTACATAAACTTTTCACGAATGTGAATATCTATCCATTACTTTTTATTAATTTTAGTTAACTGTATGATTTGCTTTATTTTAATCCATATCGTTAACAAGAGCAAAGCAAGTAGATTTAAACTTGTCCAAGGTTTGTCAGTACAATATTCTTACGTTTAGCAAAAGATGAGTAGAATATATAACAGTTCGTTTTGCTCTACAATCATAAGTTGTGATTACTGAAATAGAAAGATGCTTATGGATATTCGGTCAAAAATATTTCTGACGCACTCTACATGTATGATTGAATCATAGAATGAGCAAGGTGGAGGCTATGCGTGGAGTCCTATGATAAAATATGCGAGTTGAGATATGAAAGTGTGTACTTAAAACATTTATGATGGTTAAAACATGTCGCATATATTTACCTACGCATGTTACCCCTCGTGGAGGAGCATGGGTCGTCTGCCAGCATTCTCCACCCAACTATATCCTGGGCAATACTTTCTGGTTGTTTTCAGTTGCTATTGATCCTTTTCATGTCTGCTTCCAATTCCAGAGGCAATGTGTGGTTTAGCCTTACATTTTTTTCGTTTCCCTTCAGGATTCCAACTTAGCGCTTGCCTCGTGATGCAGTTTGATTTTTGTATTGTATGTCCTATCCACTTACAGCATCGTTTCATAATTTCCTCTTCAGACGGAAGCTGATTTGTTTCTCTCACAGTAGGCTGTTGCCGGTGGTATACAACCAGCGGACAGTGAGTATCTTGTGTACACTCCTACATGATGTTTGTGCTGACGATGTCGTTCAGAAGAATGATGAAAGCTCCACAACCAAACCATCCAGCTCAGAGAAAAAAAACTCCATCAAAATAATCCACCTGAGCTACGAATTTTCTCCACCATCTTGTGTAAACAAATGTTTATAAATACTTGTGCATTTTTGATAATGGTTGTGGTAGTTCTCGAAGTTTCAGCTTCGTAAAGTATAACTGTGTTGGCGTTCGTATTGAAGATTGTGACTTTGAGATTGGCTGACAGTTGTTTTGAGTTCTATATGTTCTTCAACTATAGGAATGCTGTTTTTCTTTTTCCAATCCTCGCCTTTACGTTTGCGTCGGATCCTCCTTGTTCATCGATGATGCTGCCCAAGTACGTTAAAGTGTCTACCACTTCAAGAGTTTCTCCACCAAGTATGATTGGATTGGTGTTCTCCGTGTTGTATTTGAGGATCTTGCTTTCTCACTTGTGTTTCACATATAGACAAACGAAAGCAATGCACTGGACTATGAAGATAACTGTCTTTTCGAAAAGTTGTGTAAGGCTATAGAAATATTTTTAGTTGGAGCCCATGAGACAGATGAAATCAGTACATAAAGAGTTTCTGGTACACAGCATAGGATTAGCATTAATGGCTCTGATATATTCCTTAGATCTTGGACATCTTATTACTTGATACCCTTTACTGTTTGGTTGACCAATCTTATTTAGAACATTCTATCAATAGTTAATCCCAAGAAAACCTAGGTTATTGTGGCTTGTGGAGCATCATATATTTCGGAAACTTTTCCCCATAGACGGGAATATTATACTGAGTTTCACCGACTAATTTTAGTAAAACAATAGAAGCGGTGATGGCAACATAAGACATATTAATCAGCGGTAGAAAACTACGTTGAATTTGTCTCTCGAGAAAGCAATTTCATATTGAAGACCGTATTGACTTGAAGGTTGACAGGAACTCCACTGAAACTTTAAGATGTTATTGTTTCGTAGTTTGTTGAACATTGGAATCCTTAATATTTTAACGTTTATTATGGCAATTATGTTGGCTATTCAAGTTGGTGTTAGTAATTGACTGAGGTAAAAGTCATGAATTCCGCTAACAAATCTCAAAACGACGAAGTTACATAAAACAGGAAAGTTAAATCACTGTGTTGATGCAGCAGCTTCATGATCAGGACATTGTACTTATAAAGGACAGACAGGCATCGTCAACATAAAAACTAGCACAGATGTATATTCGCCCAAGCTGTCACATCACATCAAAACGAAGTGAAAATAACAAGGCAAAATGCAAGACGTCGGAATATTGTAGTAGCAATGATAATGAGAAAAACCGAGCATTGGAAATATCGTTCGAAAAACAGAATGGAAAGGTATGTATAAGAAGAATATTAACGTTCAAGAATGAGAAGATAGAGTGAATGTGTCTGAATTATCGCAAAGTATTCTGAAATATCACCTCCAAAGAACCCAACCACGGACTGCGGTTGTCACGTGGAGCTTAACCAAATAGTCTGAATTTACTAACATTGCTCAGTTAATGACTTTATGGAAGGTTGCTACATCTTGGTTTAGCCATTCCTACACTCCCAACCTACTTCGATATCGACGAACATCGTGTGATGATATGTAGAACAAAATAACCAGCAAGTCGTTTACAGTCCAAATTTAAATTTTAAAATCTTCGGTTAGCAAATATTTCGTCTAGATTTTACGTTAATTATGAATGACTGATTTCGAATTTATATTATAATTAAAATTTTTAGGTTCATGGTAAACAACCATTAAACAAAGAACAATTGAATTGCAAAATGCAATATTTTGCAAACAAGTGAATATTTAAGAACATAAAAATTGGACTATGAAGGATAATATATAATCTGCTTCTTAAATCTGGTAATATAAAACTAGATCTGGTATCGAACTGTTTAGTGAAAGAGCAGTTGATTTCAAGGAATGGTCAATAACTTGCGAGCAAAACATAAAAACAAGCAGAATAACTCAATAATAATATTTTCTGACAAGTTACTAAAGGCCAATTAAGGCTATGGATGTTTACAATTAGACGATTACAGGCGCAGTTAGACACCATTAAATACAAACCGATTTATAAATTACTATTTGGTAATCAAGTACTTACTTTCTTGATAGTTGAAGATGCAGGAGTATTAAGACCAGGCCACTGTATGGAGGCTTTGCCGAAACCTAATCTCTGTCCCACATGAAGATTTATTTTTTGTCTTGTAACTCTGCGTTTTCCTCTTGCACGTTTTTTTGAGCCTCCTTTCGGTCCAGTTACACCTTCCCATAACATATCACTAGGATAATCGCTGAATACAGTGCTGTAACGACATGGAACGTAGAGTCCTAATGCGGAAGCGGCATTGTATACGAAATTATAAGATTGTGATTTCACTGGGCACAAAACAGGGATCCAGACAATCCTGACAGTTGATAGTTAGCAGAAAAGAATCTAGTTCCACTTGAGCATAAAGTAAGCGGTCTTAGACACAACATATTAGTTGTTAGACGCCGTAAAGCCATCATTTCTTTTGACTAAGTTACTTTTATTTTGAAGCGTCTTTTTAAAATTCGACAAGTGTTGGAAAATAAATACTATCCTGAACGGCTGATATGATCATAAGCAAACAAATAGCAATCTGGAAGAGGACGGAAATTGGTATTTCAAGCAAGCTAACCTAAAATATAATATAAACATTCAGATACGAACTAAAACAAATTACGTTGATTACGGCAGTTTTTGATACATAATGTACTAAAAAGTAATATTTGCTATGAGAACGTATGATAACTTTTTTATTTTATACATACGTCTACTAGCTTTACAAAGAAAATGTTGTCAGGTTTTACTGAGTGTTTAAACAGCTATTAGAAGACTAAAAGTTGCCCATCATTGCGTTTTAGATTATATATTAAATCCAAAGGGCCGATTGTGTAGTTTGATTTGACCGTGTAGTTAACTTTTGACAATAGTTGTAAATATTAAGTTAGAAACATCTTCGAAGCATTATTCACTAACAGCGAGACCGCTGGGTGTAATTTATTTATTTTTATTTTTATTTGAACACATGAATATTGGTACAAGAGAGCGCCAATATATATGCGCCACACAAAACAATGAGAATTCGAAGAGAAGTAGAAAAAAAAACTAAGGAGCGCAAAAGAAAAAGAGAACAATGACGAAGAGATTGGAGTAAGGTAGTGTGGTAGTAACGACGGAACGAAAAGGTACAATCAGAAGAAATCTTTCAGGTAAAGGAGACACAACCACTTTTTATGAAGAAAGTAAAAGAAGGTTACAGCAGGATCGCCACTGGCTTCTATTCTGAGCCATATCTGATAACGTCTCTAGCCACTGTGTAGCACCATCTCTCAGACCCCAACCAGGGAGTCGTGAAGGACCAACACAAGCCAGTCCTTTGCAGCTTTCTTTCATGCCACGACACCATGTCATGCACTGACCACCTCTCCGCTTCTTCCAACCAGTCCCAGAGTCGGCAAATAATGCACGACGTGGAATTCTCTGGGACGACATTCGGAGAACATGTCCAAGCCACCGAAGTCGGTGTTTCAAGATGGTGACACCAATTGAATTATCATCTCTGTGCCCGAACACACGATGCCGAACCTCTGCATTACTGACATGGTGTTGCCACTGAATGTCAGCAATCCTTCGGAGACAGCGATGATCGAACACAGAGAGTCGTCTAACGTCCTCAACTCGGAGAGGCCAGGTTTCACAAGCATAGAGCAAAACTGCTCTCACCGACGCGTTGTAGATCCGACCTTTTACAGCCAGACTAACATCACGAAGGCGCCAAAGGTGGCCCAGATTGGCATAAGCCGCTCTGGCTTTCACTATTCGTGCATTGATCTCATCACTCACACCACCACCAGCACTTATGCAGCTACCCAGATACACGAACTTCTCAACTACGTCTATCTGCTCACCATCCAGGGTGAGTACAGGATTAGAATCCTGCCAGTCTTGTAGAAGTACTTTGCACTTCGAAGGTGCAAAGCACATACCATACCTACGGACACTGATTGCCAACTGATTAAGTGCGGATTGCATGCCTTGGGCATTATCGCACAGTAAGACAATATCGTCCGCATACTCAAGGTCGAGAAGTCTTTCTCCAGGCAACAGATCCACACCACCATTACTTACATTCATCAGAGCTGTTTCCAGAATGTCATCGATGGCAAAGTTGAAGAGGAATGGTGAGATTGGGCAACCCTGCCTAACCCCACTGCTCGAATGGAACAATGGAGAGAGGTGGTTGTATGCCCTCACTCTGCCTGAGGTGTTTTTATATAGGGCTTTCAGGATGTTAATAAACTTCTCAGGCACACCCTTCTTCAATAGACAATCCCAGAGAACAGTCCTGTCCAACGAATCGAAGGCAGCCCTGATGTCAAGAAACACTACGATTGTTGGCCTTTGATAAGTATGGCGGTGTTCTAACATTTGGCGGAGGGTGAAGATATGATCAATACATCCTCGACCAGAACGAAACCCAGCCTGCTCCTCGCGAGTCAATCTTTCTCGGGTTTTGAACAACCTACGAAGAATGACGGAAGCCAATAGCTTGGACGCAATCGGAAGTAAACTTATCCCCCGATAGTTGTTACAGGAACGACGTGAACCCTTTTTAAAGATAGGGACAACTATCGACTCATTCCATGACGTTGGTACACACTCTAGTTCCCAAACCTTTGTAAACAACGTCGTCAATTCCTTAGTCAAAAAGTCACCACCATCTTTAAAAAGAGCCGGAGGTAAGTCATCTGGGCCAGGTGATTTGTAACGCTTCAAGAGTTGGAGTTCCTTGCGGACTTCCTCCTCATTTGGTGGATCAGTCGTCACCGGCCATGGAGGGCAGGACAGTCTGACCGATGTTGCCCCCTGAATGCCCTGGTACGGCCGAGAGTGGGGAGGGTCCGCTCTCCCTCTCGAAATACTCTCACACGGCCACGCGTATACAGCCTCTGCTAGGGAAGTCCTACTCATTGCCTTCTCGTGGCGGGGGTGTTGTTTACGAAATGAGAGGACGAAAAGCGAATGTCCGGCGCTTTAACCGGATTCCAAACCAATGGTGCACATGGGCTGCAGTATCCTGCGGGAACAAATGGCGTATGAACCAATCGTTGGTCACCGGCTACCATGGGACTGCATCTCCTTACGATGCTCCACTGCCTTGTGGGTTAGACCTTTAGGTCAAAGGCTCGGGGAGTGGCCCCCTAAGATAACCACCTGCTTCGGTTTGGGCACCCGGGCAGTATCACAGCCCACACACAAATTGATGAACTCTTTATGCTGGGTGTAATACTAAAGTTAGGAATGAATTGTTAGGGAAGGACAATGAATCAGCTGATAATGCATTTGTTGACTGAGGTGTTTGGTGTATGTCAGATACACGACCATAGGCCACCTACAGAGATGTAGAGTAGTAGCTTGAGTAGTCTCATTTCAAAGGTGGCTGAGGGTGGTGTATGGGCATATCGTCAACCAACGAATTCCCTGACTGTCAAACTAGGCTTCGTTTGGAGTCCCAGAGTTCTTGTTTGGGGTTTGTACAATGATCATTACCTATGGTTGTAGACTTTAAGTGACAAGGCTGAAGATGTTGCAGTGTTGTCGATACAGGTATATTAATAAATGCGGATGGATTCGCTATTTGTATTTGAATTTTAAAACCCTAGCAAACGTTTATTTATTTATATCTTATCTTTTATGCTTACTTTGCACTGTCATACAATCTATTGTAATTTCGACTGCTTTGCTTCTTCATACCTCATAGCGCAGACTCATAAGCAGTAGGACAAAGGTGAATGTGACAGCTTTATAATCAGAAATCCAGTAACGACACAACACACTGGTCTTAGACGTCGGATATAGTGGGAAACTGACGTCCATGACTGAAAATAGGTTAACTAGATCGACGGAATGGAAGCGTCAATGAAACATTATTGTAATTAGATAGCTTGTGTCATAAACATTATTACTACAAGACCTAACATTATGTAAAATATGAGGTTAGAGTCAATAAGTATGAGGTCAGGGAATATTTGCCTCTACATACGCACTAGTCAAGTAAAAATATAACTAAGGACACATACCTAATGAAAAATGCTTGATTAATGATGCATACATTTATAAACGAAATGTAATTAACTATGTTGGAGTATCTCTATTCTTCAGTAGTAAGGTTAGGACATGTAGCTCATACTTACTACCGAAAACAGGCAGTACTGTGCAACGTATTTACCAAGTGAACCTTTATAAACTGAGATGCCAGCCACAATTTTAGTACACATATTATTGATGATCCTCCGCTGACTGAACAGAGAAGGGATTGAACATGAGACTTGAGTGATACAAGCTTAATTTAATGGCCAATTGGACACCGTATGCATATGTGGCCTACTAAGTATGTAGTGAGAAAATATGAACGCGTAGCTTTAGTCCATCTACTTTATGAAGTACTAGTAAAAAAAACAAAGTATTGAAGTGTGACAGACTTCATGTGGGCAGAAACACAATTACACTGAATCATTATTGGTCTTTGTATTACTTAATATGGACAATGACCGTCTCAATATAACATTAGCTATTCGCTTCAAAAATACGTCTTAACCACATGCAAAACCAATAGTATAAAGGGAAAGATCAGTTATGGGGTTGCGGCTAAGCATTTTGATTATATCAAAAAAGAACTTTGAAACCATAGTTTAATAATAAACCGATCAGATTCAAAATAGCGACTCGAATTTTCGGGCGAAATCCGTTCACTCATGTGCTGAGACAGTATTTTGGCATTATATATGATGACAATTTTCAATGAAAGTCCATATGACTAACCACTAACCAAAACGGTGGTACTAAAATTTCTGGAGACTTATAAAGAATGCTAAAATGATCATGAAACGTTTCACCCACATACTGGGATTTAAGGTAACAGGTCTTGGATTTCAGTGCGAACATTACTAATTCATTTGGATAAATAGAGTTTTAGTATTACAGCTGATGTCAGTTTGTGATGACAACACTAATTCTAATTTTCAACCCTAACCACCAACTGTATATCATAATCCTAAAACCTCACGCTGGTTTATAACCCTCATTTAACACTAGTATACTAGTGTATACCAACGTATACGTAGGTTTACATTTTCACACCCACTTAAGCGTCACTCAAAGTTCGACCGTGAATTATGGTGTCAAAGACCTGCAATTGTAAATATTATAGGTTCGTCCATAAATAATAGCTTTGCAACTAAACTTATAAC